CACCTGGGGACACCCCTTCCCGGAGCGGCTCTTCCAGCCGGGGGATGGCGGCCGCCCCTGTGTCCTGGAGCCGTCTCCGCCGCCCAGCCCCGCGCCTGGGGCAGCTGGGGACGGGGCGCTTGGGAAGATCCGCGCGGCCGCTCGTCTGGAGTGCTCCTCAGAACTCCAGCACTTCTTAACACCCACCTTCTGCGGAGCAGCATGCTGTGCCTGCACTAATAAATGCTCGTAAAGTTTTGTAAGATCACATTAGTCATTAATTTCTGCCTGAGGTTCTGGGGAAGGACGGAGCGCTCAGAGCTCGCGTGCTGCCAGGTTTGGCAGAGTGCTGGTAGCCTCTCAATTGTTGTTGACGTTCATTTTCCAAAGCCAGGTAAACACACAAAAACATTTTTTTTTTCACTTTGCAAAATGATTTTGTCTTAAAGCAGGAGTCATTTGGACTGGAAACAATTTCCTGATGCAATATGGTTTTCCTTCTGCATAATCCTTTGCCCAGTGGGCTGGTATGGGGGGATCCTAGGGAAGTTTAACTGGCCTTAGCATGGTGTTAGTAAGGGTTAAACATATCCTTTAACCCTCACAGGGCAGATGTTCAGCGTGGAAGATAACCTACAAGCACCACATTCAAAACAGTTAGTTTGGAGTCAGTGTGAGAAGAGTAACTGCTCTACCAAGGTGACTTCATGTTGCTGTGCGGGTTATTAATGCACCGGGGTCTGGGGAAGGGTTTGCACCAAAGGGGTCTCGCACCGTGAACGTGGAAGAAAATGTTTCAGGTGGACGAGGAGCAGGTCTCTGAGGAAGAATTTGTTTGCAAAAGGCCCCTTGTAGGAGCGGAAGGCGGTGACATCCGTGTGGTTTGCTCTCTTGCAGGGATGCTGGTGGTGATAGTGCTGCTGCTCATCGCCATCGCCGTGGTTGCCATCTGGCCGACCCACTAGGGCAGATGCGGGGCCCCGTCGAGCTGCTGCTCCACAGCGGAGCGTGGAGGACCCCGGAGGAGACACCGACTTTGTGCAAAGACCCTCGTGATTTCAATAAACTCAGCAGTGCTGAATGAAGCTGTGTGCGGCCGACGTGCGTTCCCTCCTGCGGGCACAGCTGAGCAGCGCTGCGTGGAGCAGGTACCCGGAGAAGGACTCGCTCCCTGCCCCGGTGCAGTGTTCTGGAAGGATGTGCTTACCCGTAGGATAGGCACATTTCCCGGTGCATCCGCATCTAAGCAAGCGATCGTATTTGGGTGCGTCTGCCTGGCCCATTCGTTCTTCTGTTGAAGGGCTGGTCGTCTTGAGGGTTTTAAAATACTGTCTGCTGATAACCCGGGGGTACCTAAGTGCAGTTCCTGTGCTGTCTGACTGAGGTTTCTTACATTTTCCAAGAAATAAACATTTTAGGCAACGCATGTGTATAGACCCCCATCGAGATGGAAAACCAGAGAGCCCATGTAGCCTTAATGGGAGCAGCCTGAGGAGGAGGGCATAGGAACTCGCATGAACTGCACAGAGCCTGGCACGAGTGGGTCAGTGTTTGGCCGTTGCGGGGGAATTGTTGGCGCCCGTCTCCGCACACAGAAGTGTGAACGGCAGCGGTTTGAGCGCGGCCGGCTGCGCGAGCGCGGGGAGCCCTGCGGAGCCGGGACGCGCACGGAGCGCAGCGGGAGACGTCTGCCTCTTGCTTTGATAATCCTTCACAAACTGTTGAAACCGAAAGGGAAATGTAACTATGGCAAAAACTAACAGCAACAAAAAAAGCATCGAGCATTCGCTTCTGGGCAGAAAAATCCTTATTTTGTTATATGCGCCAATTTGATTCTCATATTGATAGAGCAAGCAATAACAGCACTGAATAAAAGCCAAACTGTTCATATACAATTTAGCTGAATGATATTTGCTGCTGCCTGTTCTCTGTAGTGTGCATTAGTGATCTTTAATGCTTCCATATTCTGAGAGCTGATTTTAGGAAGAGGGAAAAGTGGCTCCTATCAGGTGTCCTGTGTGTCTTGGTGTGCCTTTCCTGGTGTGTCTGTAACGCTGGCCAGCCCCAGGCTGCTCCTTCCCGCAGTGATGGGGTGTGTGTATCCTGCCTCTGCGTGTGCTCTGTCCGTTCCCTCCACAGCTGGGGATGGCAACACACTTAGTGGGCCAGGAGATGGGAAACCCGGGCTCCTTGGCTCTGCCACGTCACACTAGCTGAGCCGTTTTGCTCTCCTGGGCTCAGTTTCCCCATCTATCAGTTGAGGCTCTGGTATCTCCTCCATGACAATCTTGGAGACCTGCAGATTGCAGTGCACATTTCTCCTTGTCAAGCATCTCGGAACCTACCTTGGGTGGAGATGAGCTCCAACTTCGCTTCGGCACCTGGGTGGAAACGACTGTGGGATGTGATGGGAGAGGCTTGGGTTTGGCAGGATGAAGGTGCTTCTAGAGGCTGAGTGCACCGGAGCCGGAGGTTCAATCCTTGAGGGTCAGAGCCATGAAGAGCACCATCACACACTCCTTTTCCTGCTGTGTGCTCCTGGAAGAGACATGGGATAGGTGGAAATGGGATGGGAAGTGTGTGGGACGGGCAGGCCAGCACCCGTATCTGGTGTTTAAAGGGGGCAAATCTGGGCTCGTGCTTTTGGGTAGACAACCAAATACACCGTTCCTGGCTGCTGGGCAAGAGAAATGATGCCCGTGGCTTTTCCTGGGTATCTGTTGCTGAAGAAAATCGTGCCCCAAGGCTGTAAAAGCCGGGTTGAGTCGGGCCGCACAGGCTGTGCCTGTTTGCCTGTGCTTGGAAAGAAGCTTCATGTTCCGGCCTTCGAAGGAGGAGGTGGGGGAAAACACGTCCTCGGGGTGGTTTTCAAAAGGCCACGGCAGGTTTTGGATTATTTTGTTGCTTGATCTCCAAGCCGAAGCGAAGCTTCGAGCGAGGCGACTGCGGCTGGCGCGATCCGGCAGCGCGGAGGAGCCGAGCGGGAAAACCCGCCCGGGGTCGCGTCTCACGAGGAGCCTTTTGGCCCAGCCCCGCTCGGCTGCTGCCTCCGGCACCTGCCGGGACAGCCCCAGGACCCGGGGACAAGCAGATGGACTTGGCTTCCCGGGAAGCCCTTTGCGCAGGGAAGCTCGTTTGGCCTCCCGGGTGCGCCGGAGGGACGCGTGGCAGCGCTGTGAGCGCAGCACGGGCGCCGGTGTCACCAAGGACCAGGGGGGCTTGGAGAAAAGGTGCTGCTGATTTACCGCATCCTCAGCCCCAACCTTGCAGCCAGTGCGTGGGACAAGGGGTCTGACAAGGACATATCCAGATTTGCCCTTAGGTAACACCAACATGCTGCGGGGCTGGGGCGTTTCGGTGGAAAGGAGGCAATTTGGCTGCCCCGCCAAAGCAAAGGGGAGGTTAAAGCACCTGAGCAGCTCATCCCACTGCTCCCTGCTCCGCCAACCCATCGGTTCAAACATCCCTGGGGCCAGAGGGGGATTCGGGCCTGGCCGGGAGCACCGGAGCGGGTCCCTGTCCTCAGCCCAGGGTGACGGGAGGCAGAGACTGCAGGAGCCGGGCACGGTTTACGAGAGTTTATTCAACTGGTTTCTGACTTTAGTCCTACCGGGTGGGTGCTGAACAGTTACAAGCTTCTTCGGGTTCAGTTACAGCCAATCTAACGGAACGAATGAACAAATGCAGAGAAAAAACAAAACCAAAAAGCGAACAAGAACTCGGGGGGGAAAAAAATGATAAGAAAATCCACAACTTTTCCACATGTCATTAAATATATTCATATATAATAACCATAATATATTAGTATGCATTGTAAAGAAACATCGCCCAAAGCAGTATGCAATGGTCATAACTAAACAACATTTACAATTCAAGATATTAACAGGAAAAAATAAAAATTAAACAAAACAGAACGAACACAGGTTTTGCGACGGGGCCGCGCTGGGGTGAGGCGGGTGTGCGGGGCAAGGGGCCGGACGCAACGGGGGCCCGGGGCCGGGGCGAGGGGGCCCCCCGCGCAGCCGTTGCGGGGCATCCGCGGCTCCCAGCGGCGCCTCTGGCTTTCGGCTCTGCCTGGGGGCCCCGGTGTCCGGGGGTGGTTGCGGAGCCCGTGTCCTGTCCCACTCCAGTCCCCTGGGGCGCCGGGGTCCCTCTTGCCAGGGTTTCTCGCCTCCTCGTGCCGTGGGACGGCCGCTTGCAGTGGCAGGGACACATGGGTGGCACTGCCGGAGCAGAGCAGGTGAGTGACTTGGGCAGCCACAGCCACGGCCCTGGGGACATCCTGGGTGTAGATGGAGACGTCGGTGCCTCTGCAGTTACGCTGTGGTTACCCTCGTGTTTGCATCCGCGGTGGCAGCAGCCCTGGCCGTGGAGGGTGATGTTCAAGGGTGACGTCTTAGTCCTGCTTCGGGACAGGCCAGAGGTCCCCCCGCCAAAGGAGGTGTCCCGAGGGGGCTGCAAGGAAGACTTGCTTCTCCAGACCCCCGAAAACAGGAGCGCTCTGCCTCTCCCTGGGGAGCAGGGCTGTGCATGGGCTCCTCCAGCCACTGGTGCAGGTCGGGGTTACTGAAGACACTGGTTGGACAGAGCCATGGAGTTGGACAACCATGGACGGAACGAAGGAGCATCTCTAAAGTGGTTGGGAAGCATCAAAATCCAATCGTGATCAAGGAACGGGGTCCTGGTGGGCCGGGGAGGGTTGCACCTGCAGTAGTCGCTCTGGGTCCAATAGGTTCTTGGATCTCTAGTTAGTTCTACATCTCGCGTTACCTGTACAAGCACCTTGATTCCTTCCCCGTGTCGCTTTTCGTTAGTGCCCGGAGGGTCCCTGGGCTCTGGCAGCTTGGCAGGGTGGACAAGCGCCTGCTTGGAGCCATGGAGTTTCTTCTGCAGCTTCCCAAAAGACGGAAATGGGCCGGAGGGCTGGGGCCTGTCTCCGTTGCTGCCGCTGTTGGGGGTGTCGAGGCCGTGCCGGGGTCGGTGGCAGCGCTCGGCCACGTGCGCTTAGAAGAGGGAGTCAGAGATCCGAGTCCCCTGGCTTTCCCATCCTCCCCTTCCCTGTGCAGGAGCATGCTGAAGGCCTTGGGAGAACAGATTTTGGGTTGGGTCCAGTTGTTCTGGGGCCGTTAGAAAGAAATTTCATTTTATCTGCCTAAAGGCATAAGCTCCATCCGTTTCCTCCAGGTTCCTCACGGCATTTGACCATGTTGCTCTGCTTGGCTGGGTGCTCCTGATGGGTTCCAAAGGCGATAGTCCACCAAGCAAGCCCTGGTGGTGTCCGTGGAGTGGAGCTGCAGGAGCCTACGCAGCCAGCGCAGGCTGCAGGGACCTTGGGCTTGGGGCACCCATGGCTTGAGGGCATCACGAGTAGCTGTGGACAAGCTGGCTCCAGCACCAACTCTACCCAGCATCGGTCACTCCAAGCTGGAGGGGAGCTGCCTAGTAAAACTTTGTGGCTTTAAGGCCCTGTTGAGACACTTAAGGTCAGATTTTATCTTTTGGAAGCCCTTTGATGGCTTGGGTGCCTGCGCTCCCCTGCCTATGAAACTATCTATCACGGTTGGACCTGATGATCATGAAGGTCATTTCCAACCATAATGATTCTGTGATTCTATGATTAGCTCTTCTTGGGCTCTAAACCAGCTAAAATGAGACTGTTCTGGGCAAGACAAGATTAGGGAGCAAACCGTGACCTGGTGGGTTGCTTGGTGTCCAGGCCGGGGTGTCAGCCCCGAGGTGCAGGCCGGTCCGCGCGGGCCGCGTGGCTGCGGGGAGGCTCCGCACGGCCGGGCCCTCCGTGCCGTGTCCCCCAGCAGCCTGGGAGCCCTCCACTTCACACCTACTTACATGGCTGCCTCGCTTTATGGTCGTTTTGTCATTATATAAATATTGTCAATTGCTATAAAACAAGGCAAAACCACTGGAAAATGTCATAAAATAGATGTTTCCAAGTTTCCTAAAGGGAAAAATATCAGGGAGGTTTGGCTTTTCGTAGCAACTAGCGTTTGCTTCCCATCCAGGCACCTGGGCTGCCCTGCCTGCATTTCCGCCCCGGCTATTGCCGGGGGGACGGAGATTTCCCCTGCTGTTTACAGGGCCGTGTGGAGGTGGAAGAGCTGCCCCCCTGGCAGGGCGAAGCTGCCCCCACCTCACTTCTTTCTGGTGACAAAAACGCCTGAGAGCCTAAACTGTCCCTGGAAAGCTGCTGCCATCCTCAGCTGCTGCTTTGCTGTTGTGAGATAGTGGCAGGACCTCTGCCTTCCCGGTTCATCAGGGCTTAGAGATTAGGAGTTTTATTTTTCTGGGCGTAGATTTGCTTTTTTTCACCCCCCAGTGGAAGATCCAGATCTAGGTGGGTCAAATCTCACTCATCTTGTCCCCAGTGAAGACCCGCTCCCTTGGGCTCATCTTTCCGCACAGGCTCCAACACGGATCTCTGTGCCAGCCCTGCTGCCCGTGGGCACTGCGGTCCCGCTGCCCCATGCAGGAGAGGCTGGGCACCTTGTACAGTGACATGGGACACCGGCCAGGCTGCGTGAGCGAGGGCCGGGCTGGGCCATTTTGGGGAAAACTACCTGAGCCTGGAAGTGAAACTACTACTGTAGATATTTGGGCATCTCGTGCGTGGATTCCTGTCTATCCGAGGGCTCCTCCGTTTGCTGACGGCTGCAGGAAGGACCAAACCCATGAAGGAGGAAGTCTCAGGCATGGGTGGGACGGAGACTGCAGTTACATTGGGGTGAGATTTTCCACAGCTTTTCCGCAGACTCTGGATGCTTCCCTGGTGATTCTGGTTATGAACCTCACTGAATGGAGGGGAGCGGAGCATCCCGTGGACTCCAGCTCCTCGGTGCATCTGGTGCAGCAAGTGACTGGTGCGCAGCAGCGTGCAGCTCTCCTTGGGAAAACGGGGGCTGGAGCAGGGCATGTTCCCGAGTTACGCGCACGTGGAGACGCTGCCTGACGCGGCCTCCCCTTTCGCCCCACTCTGTGCGTATGGCGGGCTCACCTGGCGCGATGGGATCAGCGTGTCTGTGCGGCTGGAGACCTCGTCCTGTCTCTCGGGTACTGTACAGCAGGGAAGCATTACGGCTATGACATACTGAAGAGTCTTTAAATAACCTATATTAGTTGATCCTCAGATCTGTGCTCAGGGGTAAGTCTCTGTTTAGTTTCCTCTACAATAACTGTCTCATTCAACCTAAGCTGAGAATATGTATTTTGGGGAGGGAGGGGGTTAATTCCAGCGTTGCCGTTGATTAGTTTCTTACAGGCTGGGTCGTTCCTGTGTCCATGCTTTGGAACTAGCAGACGTTAGCAGTTTTAAGGCAGTTTGGTGTCTCCGATGTCTTCAGCGAAGGGGGCCGAAAGGAGCCGGGGGCACCGGGAAGCGCCGGCACTGCCAGCGCAGCCGAGGCTCTGCCCAGGGCACCCTCCTCTTGCAGCAGCTGGGTCTGTTTCCGCGGGCGCGACGCGAGGTGTCGACTCGGCAGCGCCACAGCGGTGACCCCCGGCCGTCCCCCCGGCCCGCGCCGGCCCACGCAAACCGCAAGGCGCCCTCCTTCCCCAGCCCCCAGCGCCAGGCCCTGTCCGCTCCCGGTTCTACACAAAGCAGCATGCACAGTCAGTCTCTCACGCGCTCGCTCCATCGCCGTCTCCGCCTCTAGGCCTTCTTGCACTTGCCCTTCTTCTCCCGCTGCTGGAACTTCCTGAGCCGCCGGGCCCACGTATCCCGCCACTGTATCACCAGGCTGGTTTTGTCTGCAATGATGCCGCTCTGGTCGGGAGAGTCCTCGTTGTTGCCCAGCAGCAAGTACTTCTTCATGGGCTTGATTTTGGGGCACTTGCACGCTATGTCCTTGGAGTGGATCCACAGGGTCTGGTCTCCACGCCGTATCCGGTTGCTCCCTTGTTTTTTTATGTTGACCGTGAACTTCCACCAGTTGGCATTCCTTTCTGCTTTCAGGATGTGAATCTGAACAGCTGCAAAAAGTCAAGGCAAGAGAGGAAAAGATGTTATGGTTTGGTAAATGAATATAAAGTCCTGATAGTGTGCGTGATGGAAATGATTTCTGCCTCTGGAGACCTGCAGACAATTCTGGTGGAGAACAACCATGGGCCAATCTGGTCATGGTTGCACTGAAGCCAGTTTTGTCTCCAGGGCTTTGGCTGAGAATGAAGCAGCCAGTGCTGATGGCAGAAGATCTCAGCAACGACAGTGCGACCACAGTGGGTGTGGGAGGTGCTCTCCAGGCCTGCTGCCAAGGAGGAGGCCCAGATGAGCAAGACCCACTTATCCCATGGCCGAGCAGGCAGGAGGACCCAGCAGGAGAGAGAAGCTGGAGGCAGCAGTACGTCAGGACCCAATTCATTCCCTGTGCTAGGACCCGTGCAGGTGATGCAGGGCTACCCACTGTGAAGGGGGAGAATTGCTTCTCTCTCCTATCAGTGTCCTCAGGAGAGTCCTTCCCTATCCCAGGGACCTTCAGGACGTCACTATGAAGCAAAAGCTGATGGAGCAGTTCCCCAGAGCCACTTGTGCAGCTCCCTCTTCAATGATATAAGAAAATCTTTAAAAAAAAGAGTCAGGTTCAGGTACGCCATAAGGTCACTGAGGTGCTAAAATCCGTCTTTTCCCTAAAAGCTACAAGCACAAATGAAAGTGGAAAATTAATAAACCTAGGGAAAATGTGTGCCTCCAGGGCTGAGCAGCAGCCAAGCGCAGGGTGAAGGCTCTGCGTGCAAGGTGAGCGTTGCAGGAAGGACAGAAACGGGACGCCAGCCCTCATCAACGGTGCTAAAACCCTGGCTTGCACCGTCGGGACCCGGGAAGAACTTCCTTCCTGCCACATGTGCAAACTCCAGCCAGGGAGACTCAACGGCACGACCCAGTCGCTGAGTCTGGAGAGCACCGTGTGCTTCAGCAAGAGGAAAAGTTTCTGCAAGGCCAGTGCCTCCCGCCCGCCTCGCTCTTCCTTGCCCGAGGGGACACTGGACACGTCTGCCCCAACACCCTAAAGCAGCCCCAGGTTTTAAGATAGCACAAGCCAAAATCTGGACTGAAAATGCTGAGATTGGCCCTTATCTCCAAGCATTTGGCAGCTGGAGGTAGAAAAGATCTGTTAAGGCCTCCAGCACATCTGCCTGGGGCCAGCATAAGGAATGAGCTGCGCTGAGCACTCCGTGAGCACCTGGCATCTGAGAAGGCTCCTCCTGATGGGCCAGGATTCTGCAGCCGTGGCTGAGCCTGGATATGCAGCTGGGTCCTGCTCCTCAGGAATGATTGTGGTTGCTTTGACTGCTGTTTTTCGGGAATGTTTCTGGAGCGTGTGTTTCTTTGGGACACCTGCCTGTCATCTCCGGAGCCAGCCATGTTTGGCACTGAGCACAGACAAGGGAGCAGACAAGTGGCCTTGGACACCTCCCACCAGCAGTACAGGATGGTCACGGCATGAACCAGGAAATAGGTGTGATCCTACAGACATGTCACCACTATCCAAAATCAAGGTCATCTATACTGAGCCTGTTCCAACCTATGAAAGGATTAATAAGAGGGGAAATAGAGATATCGACGTGTTTCTAGGATATGGTTCCTGACCTGGTGCAGTTCAGTGTTTCCCATGGACGATGACATTGCTCGTAAAAAGCAGGAGTGAAGGACTGAGGTTAGTGCTCAGTGATCATAAGGACAAGTCAATGACAACCCAGTCAATCCAACCTGGATTTCTGGGTTTGATGGACTCATTTGAACATTACTTTTAATGTGCTGATTCATCAGGCTCCTAGCACTATAGAGAGTATCTTGGGAGAAGCAGCAAGGCAAAATATGAAAGGTCTGGGCAGGTAATGAGGAGATCACAGGCTCCTAGAGGAAGACTCAGTTGGGAGGACGAACGTGATCCATAAACATAAGAATTTCAAAATGATGCTGTATTCCAGCCCCACAGCACATGTCATATAGCTCTGAAGAGGGACACACTTGCAGCCATGTGGACTGTGATGAAACCTGCTGAGAAACCTGGTGAAGACTCTGCGTCTCCACATCTTGCTCTTTCCTAAAACGTAGTCCCGAGTTCATATATTGCATTACTCTTATCTCTTCACCACCCAG